TAGACTTTGTACACAGCTGGGGGCCCTCCGGGATACAAAACTCTTGACCCCCCCCTCCGCCCGCCCCCCCCCCAGCCTTTTTCCTTCCAAGGCAGAATTCGGCCTCTTGAAATTCTGTACACTAATAAAATTGTAACTAATTTACATAGGAGATGGGGAATGAGTGGCAGCGGTTGCTATGGAGACCATCTCCCGGGCCCTGCTGCCTCCGCCTCTCAGAGCAGCCTAGACATCAAGAGATCCTCACAGGGCTGTACAGCTGGGGCCAGGCCTCCTGCCTTTTGGGCACCCTGCCCTCCTCCTCAGAGCAGGGCCAGCCCTGGGGGGACTGGACCAGCGCCCCCTTCACAGCACCAGGGCCCACCCACTCTGCTCAGGAGGTCCAGGCCCCGCTTCTTGGCTGTGCATCTCCCCTCGCTTCACATCTCCAGCCCCACATCTTGCTTCCCTGGATCATGCTGGCCTCTCCCACATCAGTGGTGGCCTTCTCTGCAGCACGGTTAATGATGGTCACAGGTGGGGACAGTTTCCAGGGATAAGGCACAGCAACAGAGCCCAGAGCGATCTGTAAGTCGGTCCTTCTGGGAGAAGCACCATCTTGGATCCCAGGGGTCTGAGGCTGGAGGAGTGCACAGACCAGACAACCTTAAGAGCAGTGAGCACTGGCCACAGAGCTCTTCACTCTGGCTGTCTCATTTCAACCTCAGGGCAGTGTCACTCAGAGGGCACTGTTAGCCCGCATTGTGTCAACAATGGGAAGGTCCAGGCCCTTGGTAAAAGCCAGTGCTGGAGGCGGAGCCAGGTCTCCAGGTCCTGATGCTGAGCTGCCTATGTCAGCAGTAGAACAGAATCATCCCGCGAAAGCAGAAGAGGGACAGGAACAGCGGGCCGGGCACAGCGGGCCCTCAGGGGTCTCGGAATTGAGATTGGGTTTTGAAGGATGAGTAAGAGTTCCCCTAGGGGCCAAATGGAAGAAAACTGTTCCAGGCAGAGGCAGCATGTCCTGTCACAGACATGAGAACCTGTCCTGAGGGTCTAAACCTGCGGCCTATGAAGGAGCGTGATGGGGAAGGGCAGGAAACAGGGTTAGGGAGGGAGAGCTGGGTCCTGAGGGGTGTGGGGTGCCAAGTCTAGCACCCATCCCTGTAGCTGAAGAGTAAAGAACTGAGGTCTAGCTGGGCATGGTGACACAGGCCTTTAATCCCAGCACTTGGGAAGCAGGGGCAGGTGGATCTCTGTGAGTTCGAGGCCAGCCTGGTCTACATAGCGAGTTCCAGGCCAGCCTGGGGTTACAGGGAAACCCTGTCTCAAAAAGCCAAAAAAAATAAAAATAAAAAATAAAGGAACTTAGGTCTGAGCAGGCCCACCTAGCAGTAATTGTGGGTGCTGGGGTCCAGTTCCTTGTCATGAGGAAGGTGTGCGGACTACAGATTCCTAGGCCCTGTAGACCGTCTTGAGGGGTGGTTCCAGCCCCCTGCGGGAAGCTAGAGTCCAGGGCAGGAGTTAGGGCCACAGATGCACAGGTATCCTAGCAAGGATGGGCAACGAGGAGGCTGAGAGGTGCTTGGGAGGACGGCGTGGTGGCCGGGATAGAGCAGAGGCTGTGGGCTGTCTGCAGAGGCTGAGCTTGGTCTCCACCAGGTGTCTAATAAGCCTGGTGCTGATGAGGTAGGCAGCAAGAAAGAATCCTGGGTGTCAGGGTTTGCAGAGGCCTGAGCTTGGGCCATGCTCCAGGAAAGCCGGGCTTCTGTGTCTGGCAGGACACCCGGGGCCCTCTAGGTGTCCCACTGAGGGTCATCTCAAGGCCAAGAGAGGAAAGGAATGGAAAACCCAGGTCCTGCCCCGCCTTCCAGGAGCCTAAAGCCTGGGAGAGGTGGGTATGGCCAGTAGCAGTGTGGGTCTGACTCAAAGCTTGGGTGGGCTGGGGTGGAGATGTGGGGATGAGAGCATGGTGGAACACTCCTGTGATCCCAGCACTGGTGGGAGGATTGCCACAATTCAAGGCCAGTCTGAGCTACATCGAAGATTTTGTCTCTAAAAGATGCAGCTCCCAGCCCTCAGGATGCTGTGGTAGATACACCTCTGGGAGCATCTGGAAGGTTCTGGTAGCCCCATATATCTCTAGGAAGCTATGCTGCCACACTTAGTTTGGGGACCATCTGGGACTCAGCTGTACCAACTGGAGAGGGCGTGGAGCTGTGAGATGCCGGGTGTGGCATGCTAGAGCCCAAAGCAGAATGGGCCAGGTGTGGATGGAGGGGTCTCTGAGGTGGCCTGGGCGGTGTGGCTGGGAGGCAGCAGAATGAGGAGCTGGATCATGGGATGCACTGGCTGGAGTCACGGGATGCAAGAGCAGAGCACCCTGCAGAGGATGTATCCAGGCCAGGCTAGTACCAGGAGCAGCTGGGCCTCAGAGGTGTCTACCTGGGAGGGGCTCATCCCTGGGAAAGGTTTGGTGAGTCCCCCAAGAGTCAGGCAGGTAGAGGAGCACAGGGGACTCTGATCTCCCCAGAATCCTGGGAGAAAAGGGTTCGTTCCCACACCCACCTTGACCAATGACCCAAATAATGAAGGGACAGCAAGGCAGTCAGCTGTCCACATGGCTAAGCTTCCCTGTCCCCCTTTAGCCATGATGGGCATCCTGAGTTCTGATCCTGCTCCCCCTTTACTGTGTGTCCCTAGGCACATGCCTGTAAAAATCTTATTTCTGCCAGGCGTGGTGGTGCACGCCTTTAGTCCCAGCACTCGGGAGGCAGAGGCAGGTGGATCTCTGTGAGTTCAAGGCCAGCCTGGTCTACACAGTGAGTTCCAGGACAGCTGGGGCTACAGGGAGACCCTGTCTCAAAAAGACAAAAAAAAATCTTATTTCTAAGCTTGTATTATTTTGTCAGTGTGTCTGGGTCTGTATGTGTCTGGGTCTGTCTGTCTATGTGTGCCTATGTGTACATTTCTGTGTGTGTCTGTGTATGTGTCTACATCTATGTGTGTCTGTATGTCGTCTGTGTGTGTAAATTGTTCATGTCTGTGTCCCCATATGTATGGGGACATATACATGTCCATGTCTGTGTGTGTCTGTATGTGTATGTGTCTGTATGTTGGTGTGCAGGCCAGAGGAGGCACTGAGTATTTTCCTCTCTCGCACTGTGCCCGCCTTCTCCGTGGTTGCTGAGGATCTGAGCTCAGGACCTCAAGCTTTTACAACAAGCTCTTTATAGGAAAAGCCAACTCCCCTACCCCAACATTCCTAAGTTCTCACCGAAGGGGGAAGGAAAGGCTGCCTTCAAGAGTGTGTTGATGCATTTTAGGGTTAAAGGAGTTGTGGGTGGGGACACAGGATGGAGCACTGATTCTTCTGTTCCCCTTTCTCCTCCTATCCCAGGGGGCAGTTGAGGTTCGCTGGACTTTCTCCTGCTGGTGTGATTCACAAGGTACTCCCCACCTCTACTCCTTCCTCCCTT